TATAAAAATTATAAACTGAGAGAATAATTATGATAGATTTTATCTAAAAATGATAAATTTTAAAAATAAAAGTGATTTATAATTTTAATTTATCATTTTAACTTATATCATTTAACTTAATTTTATGGATAAAAAGTAGAATATATATTATAATTAAAAATATTATATATTTTTATATTATATTATTAAAATATATTAATATATTATAATTTAAATTATTAATATTATTTAATTAAATTTAAATTATTAATTATAATTAAAAAATTTAATAAAATATCAATTAATAAATAAAAACTTAAATATTAATTATATAATTAAAAATATTTTTTGTTAAATATATAAAAAAAATATTAGAGATGATCTATTAATCCATCAATCATCTTTGACGAGATAAGTTGAGTCTATAACCTAATTATAGTCATCTAACTCGTTACATCCATTTTTAATGAACAAGTAAAATTCGTATTACCATCTCTAGTTCTACTTATTATTTGTAACAGTTAGATGTATGATGGTATTAATAAACGTCACTGAATTGATATTATGAATAAAAATTATTATTGTTAGCTTTTTTTTTAATCCCACGTCAGCATATGTTATATCACGTGTTACTATTTTTTTTTTATTTAATTAATTGCAACTAAAAAAAGCATATTTCTTTATTCGATGCCAGCAACCATTTATAGCAAAGGGCCTCCATCATGAGAAGACATGACCCCCTTTTTTTCAATATAAATTCAAGCTTATTCAATATTATTAATTCCAAAGAGTAAAGCTATTATATATGAGGACAAAACTCATTCATTTTGTACACAAAAATTATTAAGTTTTTGTTAAGTAATAAATACACGCTTTTATTTGGGCTGAGTGAGATAGTATTACTTGCCGACAATGCAATTTTCTCTTTTACATCCAACTATTTATTTCCAATTTTGACTTCATTCTTTACATAAATTGTTTCAAAATATAATTAGTTCAAATATTTAAACACAACTCAAATATAAAGATAAGATATTTTAGTAAAAGAATACACAGCTATAAACTAAACTAATTAAAAATACCAAATTATTGTGACATTTTTTAAAAGCTTTTTAGATTGCACAAATACACTAACAACCTTTATATATCACATTAATTTTAATAGTTAAAAAACACTACATCATATATTATTATAAAAGAAGTTGTTGTAAAAAAAAAAAAAAAAAAAAAAAAAAAAAAAACAAACAAACAAACAAACAGAAGCTATGCAATTTAAAAATAAAAAAATCTCAGAAATACTAGTATAATTTACTCAAATAAAAATTAAAATGCACATTCTTAAATTGACTTTTTTTCTTAAACTATAGCAAATATGTCTTAATAAAATTTTCTAGGTTTATACCTTATATATCTTACAGTTTTACATAAATGAAAAAAAAAAAAAAACTGCCTTTTGACCTGATGACAATGTAGAAATAATCATAAACCTAAAGGTGTGTGAAGATACTATTCAGTATGGTATAAAGCATGTATATATAAATAATGTGTGTATAGACATGTGCTCCCTTCAAATTCTTATTTTAGTTTATGAAAAAATCGTTTTCTTTTTCTTTTTCTTTTTCACTAAAAAGTATTTATGAAAAAAAAAAGACAAAAAGCCAACATAACACAACTTATTATTATATATTCTTAAACGTTAAAAGTGTCAAAAAAATTTAATCCGATGAGTCAACCTGAAAAATAAACTAAATTAGACTAAAAAATTTATAGTATAAATAAAATCAAGCCAATTTGGGTCAGGCTTAAATTGACTTAAGTTAATTAGTCCCTAGGGTTTATGGATTAACCCATTTAATAAAATATTAATTATTTTTATAATAAAATAAGTAATATTATTTTATTAGAAAATATATGTATAATAATTTAATTTATTAATATATTTTGTTATATATATATATATATATATATATATATATATAATTTAGAAAGAATAATAAACTATAAACAAAAATTTTTGTTATTTTCTTTTTATTGCTCCCGTCACATTTGCTTTGAAGGACCAATAATATAAGACGACATATTTTTAAATATAGTGTATTTCTAAAGTATTATGATGTGAAAGTTATGTTAAATAATAAGACTAGCTTGTTAAAACAATGAAAATTTGACTCTAAAATTTATCGATACTACTAGCTAGATGCATTATTTAGCATCACCTTCAATCTAGCTAAATTGAATTTAAAGATATTTGATAATTAAATAAAGTTTTGAATCCTGATTTTAACTCGAGTTACTAAAAACACTTCAATCAGAAAGATTTATAAAGCGTATTTAATAGAAAAGAAAAAGCTAAGAAATGTGTTACTTAATATTTCTAGTAAGATATATTTGCTTTTTAATGTATATACAACTACAACTCATCAAAACTACATAATTATAACCACTCATTTTTATGATTTTATACAATAAATTTTTGAATGATAAAAGTTTGTAAATAGTATTTTATGATTTTATTTTGTCTCGTATAGGTTGAGTTAAATTTAAATAAACAAATGAATCACATATTATTTTTTAGAACAAAATTTAAAAAATTATATAAATAAAAAATTATTTTGAATTAAGTTAAAAATAACTCATTAACCTTTTGTCTATCATAAAGCTAAGTTAAGTTAAAAATTTGACTCATTTTAAAATATAGATTAGATTTGATCATTAGATTTTTTTTTTATGATTAGTCCCCTCTCAAAGTTTTGTAACTCCCATGTAATTTATGATTTTGGTCTTTCCCAAAACTTAATGAACATTTAATATATTTACTTGTATATTTACAATTTTATTCTCTCAGCTCCTCCTTAGTTTTGTAACTCTCATATAATTTATGATTTTGTCTCCCTCAAACTTAATGATAATTTAATATATTTAAGTATATATCTATAATTTTATCTTTTCACCATTTTATCTTATTTCTTCCTTTTATATTTATTTATTATTTATTAATAATATATTATTTAGCCCCCAAGATTAATAGTCAAGATCCTTCACTGACAGAGGTGATACTATCCATAATATTAAGCAAAACTACATATATCCATAACGTCATGTGTGAGTTTGTGTTTAATGGTCAAATGCAAGCCTATATGTGTGGATACGTGTTAGCCATGTATCATAATACATATTATATATCTATAATTAGAATTAGACAAGGTGATACTACACAACGTACGTGTTTATTTACGTATATATACAAAGACAACAACAAAGTACGTGTCTAAGTGTACGTAAATGTGAATTCTTAAAAACTACATATCCATTATACATATTATGCGTTTAGTTAAAAACTAGATGCAAAGGATATTTATAATTAAGAATGCAAGCAAAAGAAAATGTGAAATGGGAAACTATTCAGAAGACTTTCTTAACAATCATGTATCCTCTTTTGGTGTGATTTTGAGAATTTCAACAATTTGCATAAATTAAAAAACAAAAAATCTTGCCACATATATCCTCCGACACTAGACTAAAGAATAATTTGTTATAGTGTTATAAGCAGTGCTGGTTCAAAAACAATTCCCACAACAGAGATTAAACAGGAAATTTTCTGCAAAAACATTCTCCATATATGTGTAGCTTATCAAATCGGTCGCTAAGAATTATATTAATAGATAACGGCTTAGTTAGTTTATCAAATTATAAAGTAAAAGTAAAATTTACAAGATTAGTAATTTATTCAACCAAAATATTGTGACCACAAATTTTTCACATAGATGAAAATAAATATTAAATTTTGGATTAACTAATATTTTTTAAATACAAATTAAGTAACTGTACTCATAGATATCAAAAATCAATAACAAGAATTTTAACTAACAACGGATATGTTATTATTAATAATTTAATTTTAATTAAATTGAAATAAAACTAATAAAAATAAAAATAATTCAATCAGATTTTTAGGTTGATTTTTAAAAAAATATTAAAGATCAATTTTTAATCTTATTTTTGTTATATTAATTTAAATAATAATTATTTTATTTTAATTATTATTCATTTTACACTCATTAATATATTTTATATTTATAATTTATATTTCTTATGATAGTATTTTTTTATTTTTTTAATATAAAAAATTTATTATTAATACTTTTTTTATATGGAAATCGGACTTAGGAGGTTCTTATCGAAAAACAAACCCAAAAGCCAATAAAAACATATATAGAGATCAAAGGACAATGTATTCATTGTACTAAAATGTTAAAAAAAAAACTTGATAATTTATTGAATCATTTATGTTTCATTTCGTTAATTGTAACTTTAATTGCAATGAATCTGAATGCATGTGAAACATTAAGTACATGAACCACAAAGACACCTTGAAAAAGAGACCACAAAAGCCTCAGACCTATCACCAATGGAAGTTGATATAAATAATTAATTTAAGAAACGCAAAACAATTAATTGTAAAGGACAGCAGGTCCTCTGCTGGTGTGCAACAGAAGTGCCAGCAAGGTGAGAAAGGTGAAAGGACTAAGTTTTATTAAGTTGAATAAATTTAAATTATATTTATTTTCATTTGATGAATTAACAAAAATGAAAATTCTTTTGGGAAAACTATATTGATGATAATTCTTCTGTTTACATTTAAATTTCTCTCTTTTATATATTTTTTAACATAAACATATATATTTGTTTAACTTGGGAAGAAAAATGAAAATGGAATTGCAATGAGAAGTTGTGTAATCCATGATAGAAGTTAAAAAAGAAAGAAAGAATAAAAGATCATGTATAATAAACTCTAGGTATTATTGTGGTTGATAAGATAAGATAGCTAACATAATCATGGTTATAGATGTACTTGTAATGTACACTTTGTTTGTATTGAGGAGTTACCTTCCTACTGGGGGGACCTAGAAAAGTAGTTCCATTTGCAAGAACTTAAAGTCTAATTCACACACACTCACACGCATTCTCTTTGTTTCTTTTCAAGACCTTTTTGTGCTTGATTTGGATACATCGATCTAGAACTAGAACAACCCTTCCGTACTTTCCTCTAGTGACATGTTCATTAGATCTTCGTTGCACTGAGGAGCAGCATCATCGAAGAGCCAATTCTCCAGCAACATGAGAGGGACTTGCGTCTCTAGGTTCGGCTTGCTCTCGACCAAGTTGGTGTTTTCTTCTGCTGACACAGATTGTGAACGTTCAGAGTTGAAGCTCCACAAGGAGTCAAGAGCATGTTCCTGTGTGCATGTGGTGGTGCTTTGTGTTCCTTCACTGGAGCTAGACCCTGTGGTTACCATGTTGCTGAAGGAGTAGTTTTTTTCGATTTTGTTTGGGGATTTCTTCATCCAATTGTCCAGCAACTTGGCGATGTTTTCTGTGCTTGAGGCGTACAAGGATGTTTGGTTTGGTGATGTAGGGTGGTGGTGATCATGGAAACATTGGGAAGAAGTGGAGGGTAATTTGGTCTCAGGGAAAATTTGGGTTGGTTTGTCAAGGGACAAAGCTTCACATAAGGCCTGTTTGGCCATGTGGATATCTGTTTGAAGCCTTCTCTCCCACTGACCCTTTAGCTGTGAACAAGAGTTTCCCTTTTCATAATTGTTACTGTCATCACCACCCTCACTTTCCATCTTCTTCAGCTTCTTCTTCAAATGGGTATTCCAGTAGTTTTTTATGTCATTGTCTGTCCTCTGTGGAAGGTAGGAGGCTATCGCAGCCCATCTGCACCCGTTACATACATCTCACGTCATCATAAATTCAACTTTTATCAAAAACCCATTATCATCAAACTAAAACAAACAAACAGATCCCACAAATTTCTTCCGTTTACACACAATTCACATCCTTGTAAATTTTATACCCAAAACTCAAAAAGTCAAGCTTTTACGTAATTTGGGAATTTTCAATCTTTAAACTCCTTAGCCTTTAAAATACAAGTTTAAAAAATAAAAAAAGGTGGTACCTGTTGCCCAAAAGTGCTTGGAGGTGGATTATCATTTTCTCTTCATGATCGGTGAAATTGCCTCGTTTGATTCCAGGTCGCAGATAGTTGGTCCATCTGAGTCTGCAGCTTTTGCTGCATCTCATCAACCCTGAAAAAAGTAAAATTAATGGCATCATATCATATACATGTAGATACCCCTCACCAATTTCATTTAAGAAACAACAAACGGAGCCTAGCTGCGGAAAAATGAAAACCCAAAAGAATTATTGACGAAGAGGATATTAAAAGCAAGTGCGAAACTAATGTTGAATTTTCTTACCTGTATTAGTGGGAACCGATCTCCAATTCCCTGGACCATGCTCTTGAATGTAAGAGACCAAGATGATGTCTTCCTCAGGAGTCCAAGGCCCTTTCTTAATCCCAATTTTGTCACAGCAAGGTGGTCTTCCCATTTTGTTCCAAGGAAAAAAATGGTGTGGCTATAAAGCTATATACTTTTTCTCTTTCTCCTCTTTCTTCTTTTCTTCTTCTGATTTGATATGATCCCTTATGGAATCTAATACAAGGGAGTCTTTGAAACGCAGAGACAAGGTTCTGCAAATGGGGCTGGCTTGTCTATTTTCCATGAGTGAGGTATATATATAGGGAAGAGAAGAAGATGTAGCTTGGGTTAATCGCTGACTGGAGAAAAAAATGAGGTAGTAAAATTTGGAAAAAGAGTCAAAAGAAGCATTTACTCAAGGATTGCAAAAGTCAGCCATGCTTCCTTCCTTCACTCTCTTTCTACATTAACATTTCACACAAACCCTTCACCGTCATTATTATGGGAACGGTGGAAACACCAGAACCAAATCCCGCACCAAAATATGTCTTTTAAAATCTAAAAGGGCTTTAGGTAATAAGTACTTTTAACTGATCATCAATATCAGAATAAAAAATAATGGTTAGTAGCATTATTTTGAAAGCAGGTTTACTGTTAAATCGGGAATTAGGACAAAATTAATAAAACGAAAAAATCGGTAGATTTTTAGATTAAATCAATTTTAATAAGAAAAATTAAGGACAAATTTTTTTAATATAATTTTTTTAAAAGATATAATATATTTTTTATTTTATAATTATGTTAACTTTAATAATTATTATTTTATTATATTTTTATCTTATTTTAATAATTATTTATCTTATATTTTTTAATATGTTTTATATTTATAATTTTTATTATAATATGACAATAAATTTTATTATTTTTATTTTTATTTTAAATATTAATAATAATAAAATTATTATATCTTTATTATTATATTATAAAAATGTTTATACTAATCTTTAAATTCTCAATTAATGTCTTTATAGTGATGGGTCTAATTTTAAAAATATTGATTAATAATATTTTTTTTAGATGTTTAAGATTTAAAATTAATACACATAATTAAGAATATTTGATAGATAATAACAATGAAAAAGTATTGGTATATTTGATTAAATATTTCATTTAATGCATTGTCCTACTTCGAATATTAAAAAGTAAAATATTTAAAAATGTAAACAGAAGGTAATATCAAAATAATAACACTGTTTTATTGATTTTCTTTCCCTTTTTATTATTTATCTCCTACTTTCATTTCTTTGTATTTATTTCAATGACATTAAATGCATTTAACTTTTGGTAGTGAATATTATTTTTATGTCCCATACGACTACTAGTGAATGTAAAGAAGAGTATATTAAAAAGTTAAAAATTTGTAAATACTTTTTCATACAAAAATAAAATATTTAAACAAGGTAATATCAAGAACACTCTTTTATTGATTATCTAACTTTCTTTCTTTGAATTATCCCCTCCTTCCTTTCTCTTTTCGATTTATTTTTGTAACATTAACTTTTATTTAAGTATTTTTTTATGCCAATACTGAAAAATTGTAAGAGAATAAAAACGTCAAATTTATCTATTATAAATTGTATGAAAGAATATTTTTAATTGCCTGTTAATATATATACCCTTGAAATTTCAAACATTTTCGTTTGGGAATTTGCTTACGTAGTATGAAAGAGGGACATAAAAATTTTCGTTTTTCTCCACAGAATAGTGTCAGTGTTGGTATCTAATAATATGGGCTTTTGGATATAACAAGTTGTTTTCATTGTAATTAAAACTCAGGCCTTGTGATGTGTGCTTCATCATCGTGTGGTTCACAGGTTTTTCAAGAACACACCCTTTTCAACTTCACCATACTATCACCGGTCGGCACAATGAAGAAAGAAGAATGTTAGTGGCGTTGTTTATCAATTTAATTTGTATTTTCAAAAAATTCTTCTAATATTTATGATTTTTTTAATTTTATAATATGAACTTGTCTTTTACTAATAAATAGTATACTTAATATTAGAAAAATAGGCTGAAGACATGTGGCCCTTTTCAAACAAGAAATACGACTTTCCAGTATCTTGTCGGTTATTAATTTAAGTGATGGAGTTTCTTTTTTATTTTTCAAAATATAAAAACATCGACCCTTTTTCATATTTATCTTCTATATATTCAAGTGTTCTTCCATTAAAATTAATATCAATGAGATAAAACTCAATTTCTTCTTTCATAAAAACACTAATATTTTAAGATTTAATTTAATTTGATTAAGATTATTTTAGACAACATCAGATTAACTCTGTTTTATAATAAAATATATCAATGTTATTATTATTAAGTCCTTATATTAGTATAATAATTTATTTTTATCAATCATTAAGTCTTGTACAAAATGTGCATGCTAATATATTTGTCAACGTGTTTTAATTTTGGTTTTGTAAAACGAACTATTTCAATTTTAATCTTTATAAACAAACTATGTTATTTTTAATTCCTATCATCTTTTGTTCATGATTTTTATTACTCTAATATATAAAATAACTAATTTTATTCGAGAAAACTCATTATAAGATAAAATAGTAAATAATATTTATTTTTTAAGTTTTTTTTTAAATGTCATATATTTATAATATCTCTCTAATAATAACATAAATTATTTAAAATAATTATTTTCAACATGTTGTGCACATTGATATATATACACAAAATATGTGTTTAATCTTCATCATATAAAATTTTCAGACTAGTGATAATCATTAATACTATAAATGAAATTAATCTCATACTTAGTAGGAAAAAAACTGACAGAAAAAATATATATTCTTCTTATTAAAAAAATCAACTCACCAACATTATATCTTATAGTAATAAAGATTATATGAAATTTTTTAAAGAATTATAAATTTTAAGATAATAAACCCAATGATTTTAGAAAGAGTTAACTTTAAAATATATTTATGCCTTAAGAAAATCGCCCTAGATATTGATAAAAATTTGTACTACAACCATCACTTTTACCTTTTAATTAATAATTCTTTAAATAAAAGTTTAACATGATGAAGCATCTTAATAGAACCATAAACTTCAATTAAGTTGACATTTTAAGATCCATCCATCTATCACATGTTCAAATATCATAAAAAGAAAAGATATTAAAAAATAGTATTACAAAATATTTTATTAGTGATTTCATGACCCATTTTACTACAGAAAAAAAAATATTAAAGATACTTTTAAGTACGCAAAATATCTAATGGAAATATATAATACTTTTTATTGTATAATTTTCTTAGAAACATAAATATAGTTGACATGTGGATGTAGATGAGTTATTTGTAGTCACTCATGCAAGAAAGACAACAATTAGGTTAATGGTTGTAATATATACATATAAGTTATTGATAATTATTTTTTAATTACTTTTAATTTTTATAAAATATTTTTAACTATATAACAAATATTTTAATTGAATAGGAAAATGATCATAGTATGGACAATTTTCATTAAGAAATTCTTCATGGGACTACTAGTAACTTATAATCCTTGATATAATGATAATAAAAAAATATATAGTGTTGGTAGAATGTTTAACTTCCAATAGTTATCATTGTATGTTACGCCTCACTCAATAATCATTATTAGCTCCTAATAATTATGTACAAATAAAGAAAGTGAAACTAAAAAACTAGACAAAAAATAAAAACGCAATTGAAAGCTTACTTAAAGTTAATACAAAATTTAATTATTATACTGAATATATTGATGCCTAACCCTTATCTTAAACTATAAATTCATTCTAAACAAAATTTTGGTAAAAAATATATATTTAAATGCCAATTATATATATTAGTTGGACATATATAAACGTATATATCGTTTGATAGATTTTTATTTTGTAGTTTTGGATGTTTCTATTTTATTTTGAGAATTAACTTATGTTTTTCAACTACATTGGTAAATAAATTTAGTTGATAACCCCTTTATATATATATATATATATATATATATATATATATATATATATATATATATATATATATATATATATATATTTCTTAACATGGTTAGCATTACATATGATAATATAAACAAATAATTTATAGCAATTCCCAATTTGATTGAGAAAAAACAATTATTCTAGTATATAAGAAAAATTGTGTAAGTATATATATGATCTCATTGACAACGTCGATTTAACAACACAAAATTAAGTTATTATATAAAATAATACTTAATAAAAACTTAAACAAACGACATATAAACATTGGCTTAAACATATGCTATATTAAATAAATTCTAACTCATTCTTTTTTTTTTAGCATTGACTTTTGCTTGATACTAATTTCATATATAATGAGTCAAGTAACCACGAGTTTCCAAACAAAGCTCACTATCTTGAATTGTGATGCGTATGAAATAAGATTGTGTTTGGTCTATCATTTTTTTCCAACTTTGTTTAATAAATATTTTTATTTTCGAAAACTCTTTATATAATATTTTGAACAATCAAATAGAATGAGTTAATAATATTATTAGGATAAGAAATAAAATAAAATTTTATTAGAATTTTTTTATTAAAAATAAAAAAAATAAAATTTAGTAATTTATCAAAAACCAAAAACATATTTAAATCAAGAAGTCATAATATTATTAGGAATATATATATATATATATATATATATATATATATATATATATATCATTAAAATAACCATAAACCTAAATCCTATTTAACACAATAAATAACAAAATCATTGGATGCCACTTATTTTAACCTTTACCCCTATGCAGAAAGAGAATTGTTATATATCATTATTAAATACCTGGCGTCTTAAGTGCACCGTGGCAATAGAAGACTTGGGAGATGGAGATACTCACATGGTGATATGTTAACCTAGGGTTGTATGAGTGTAATTTCTTTTTATTTATTTATTAATATTTAGAAAATAATTGATAATTTCTAAATATTAATTGTTTCTTAAGATGCAATTAGTACTTAATTTATAATATCGATTACATTCATGAAGTTAATTTTTGTTATAAATGTTTTTATTTAGTTTCTATTTCTTAGATTATTAATTAATTTAATATTTAAAATGAATATTGTTCAATTTCACGTTGATCACTATCAATTTGGCTCTTAAACTTCAAAATCATCATTCAATTTGGTTGAAGAAGGAAACCAATAAAACTACTAAAGTCAAAATCAAAGAGGTTGATTTTAAAATTGATGGACCTTGTTGTCAAAAGATAATTGATGGTCCTTTAAGATGGAAATGATCAATCATCCCTTGAGAATTAAAATTTTGAATTCGTATTTTTATAGAATAAAATTAATTATTATTATGATTATTATTATTATGATTATTATTATTATTATTATTATTATTTTAAAAAATAATTTGTTGATTTACATTTTTTAAGCAATGAAAATGATATTTATTAAAGTAAATGGCAGATTTTAATGAGGGATTGAAAGCAGAAACGTGACAAATACTAATTGATTAGTTAAGTAATGAATAAGGTAGTTTAAACCAGTAACTCTCAGTTGTGACTAATTATGGGAGAGTAGTATTGTATTAATTTGTGGAATATATCTACCATTATTAGTCTTAACTATTTGACGGTTGAAAAATAAGTCTTCAACAACTCTCTTAGTTATAGTCTGTAGATGACTAATAGTAGATAAAACTAGTCTTAATACCCTACACCAAGAACATTTCATAACGTGACATGAAGGATGCATTCACATTTGTACAACTTTTAAAAGAAAATTTAATAGCACTTTTAGTCCATTTTATTTAAATTATGCTTGGTTTTGGTTCTCATAAATTTAAGTTCAATTAAAAATCTGTCCATTCTTAAAATCAAACAAAATATTTGGAGATATGGAAAAAATTAAATTTAAAAATAAGGAGTTTTGTCGAAATCTAATAAAAATTGAAGGGTTTGAAGTGAAAATCGATGTTGTATTATGAAGTTGGTTTGGAGTAATTTACTCAATTTAATTAAAAAAAATATAAATATAATTTTTTTTTATTTTTTATATATTTATCTGTCTTTCAAGGAATTTAGAACATATATCATAAAATTATGGTTGACATGCAGGTCCACTGAATTTGAGGGGAGAGAAAGAAAAGTAGCTTTTTATCATTTAAGTCACCACCTCTTTTATCATGCACCAAGCTAGTTTCACAATCAACACATTGAAAGATGAGAAAAAATTGGAAAGGAGAAACAGAAATTGTATTGGAATGTGGAATGAGGACCAGTGTGATGATTGTTGAACGTCACAATGCTGGCAAGTGGTATTTTGGTTTCCGTCTGGAACCATGGAACTATAGGTTGGTTCATTTTTGGACTTGGGACCATAGAATGTTAAAAGTTGAGAATAAAAATAGAAGATATAGCTAACCGCCATCGAAAAGTTTTTCTCTCCCTCCTTACCTATAGTTCTCCGTTTTCAACAATGGCAACCCTACCGTTAATTTTAATTTATAAAAATAACATCTAACTTAAATGTGTGGCCATTGAATAAGTTGTACATTAATTCCTCTTGCAGGGCATTGCATTCTACATTTGTAGGTGTGCATGCATGTAATCATCTTCATGACTTCATGCAAATTAAATTGCTATTGTATATTGGTTCAAGTGTCAGATCTAGCAGAGCACAACAATTATATATTAAGTCTCTCACTATTTCAAGTTTCCATACATGATTGAGTCATATACTCTAACAGTTAGTTAGATTCTTTGAACGGTATTGTATGCATTGGCCACTCACTGTTTTCAATCTTTCTATACTCTTGTCCACTCTCCAAGTTACTTACATAATATATTATGTTCACATATTCACACAACTATATAAATAAGTATTATATATATATATATATATATATATATATATATATATATATATATATATTATATAAAACATTATGGCAGCTAATTAATTTTATGCATACATCATGAAAGTTAGGTTAAATTTACTTTCTTTGATTTTAATATAAGACTTATTTTCAATAGTTTCAAAATTTTATAAATATCATTTTTTATATATATAATAAACCAAAACTTAATTATATATTTACAGAAATAAATAAATAAAATATTTACATTCGTTGTTAAACTATAAACTATTTTACTATATGTTCATGTGAGGAGTCTTGGAAGGACAATTTAGACGTGTTTTTGAAAATAGAAGAACAGCGTAGTTCGAGAGAGGTGCTAAGCTTCCACCATGAGCACCAACTTTGGGTGAACATTTATGTGCTGTTATTATAAAAAAAGAACAAGATCTGTGTGTCTTGTTTCATGCATTACGCGTTTTTGTACGGAACTAATTCATAACCAAATGTTGAAGTTTTTATATCAAAACAAAAAGTATATACTAGTCATCTATATAACATGTGTGCTACAAAGTACTATCAAGGTAGGGTTTTCTTTATAGTAGGGGCCATGAGGTTTGTGCTGATGCTCCTACTTGAACTGGTTTGTGCAAATCCATAACATGTCGGTAGGCTTTTAAATTCTGATCCAACCATAATTACAGTCATAACGTCAAATATTCTTAACATTAATTGCTATTCTAACCATGTTGATTTTATTTGTTTTAATCCTTTCTAAGGATTAATTTTAGATGTAAGTATATTTTTTTGTATGAGATGCATGTTTAGCATAGTCAATTAAATATTTGTTTTATACTAATCTTGTTTCCAATGTAACTTTAAGATCTTATAAACATGTCAAAGTGTCAATATCTACACAATCAACGTCTATCTCAATCCCTAAATGATAATAATAAAAAATAAAAAACAAAGGAGACAGTCAACTAGTCACTAACATTATTCAGTAATTTATCCAGCGACAATTCATATTTGGAAGTTTATGAGTGAAATTTAGGATGGAAGCTAATCCGATATATACTTATAAATTTTACTTGACTTTCACATTAAATTTATAGATAATTATAAATATTTTTTTAGGTTAAAATGAGTTATATTAGAGTATTTTTAAAGGAAGTTTTTAACAAAAATGGTTAAAAATAAAATTGAATATTTTATTATGAATAGTACACACCTTTTAGTTAGAGTGTTTATATAAATAAGTAATTTTTTACAATTTTAAATATTTTTTCTATTTTTAACAATTTAGACGTGAAATTTATAATAAAATATTTATTTTTAATATTAAACAACTTTTTTTTCAAAGAATATAGAGTTTTAAAACAGTAATTATTTCAAATATACAATAATAATTTTATGATATTATTATAATAAATTTGAGATTAAAATAAATTTATTTTTAAATTGATTAAAAATGTTAATTATGACAAAATTTAGTGATATAACTTTGAAACTGTGTTAGAAAGAAATGTGCGCTTTGGACGAGATTGAATCACAAGATAAAATTCGAAAATGTCGGTGAATAAATGCATATTAACATAGTTAGTATAGATGGAAGGATCAGACGCGAGTACTCACGGAATTGGAAGTACTAGAAGGAGCGGAGACGATCTGCAGTGATAGCGGCATGAACCAATGCACCGAGTAAGTTCCCAAGAAAAAGAGGTGAGTCACTAATGGACACACTTAAATACTAAGTCTTTCCTTATCAGAATCTTTTTAGACATGTACTTTCACACTACTAAATAATATCCAATAACAAAAATAATCCTTTTTTCTTATGTGAAAGATCAATTTAACCGGCAGCTATAACAGCGATGGTGGCAGCTCCAACAGTGGTTAAAGACGAAAAAAATACGTTTGTTAATCAGAATTTAACAAGTTCTTCAACAAGAAAATAACTTATAAATGTTACATGAAAAAATATAATTTTCAAATTACAGCATAAATACTTATTTAATAAATGCTTAATCCAATTAATTATCCAACATAGATCCTAAAGAAATAGGATTGATATTGTAAGATCAATATGAATTATTTGTTTATGTCCTGGCTCAGTTTCATTTTTCATTTCTATAACAATAATGAAAAAAAAATCTTTAATATGATTGATATATATATATATATATATATATATATATATATATATATATATATATATATATATATATTGATGTAGAAATTGAGACAGTTAAATGTTTGACAAGATGTGGTGCCAACTTCGATCTTAACATGTACACAATTTATATAAGTATAACACAATAAATTACTATTACATAACCTACACTATAGCTACATAATTATAAAAAAAATCATTAACAAATTTAAAAAATCTCTTGTACAAATTAAATAAATATTTGATAGTAGGTAGCATTGTTCCTGTTTCTTTCTAAGGGGATGGTACGTATCTTGTCACTCTTATTGCTACTTCCAGCTTAAATTCATAAGACAGGTGACAACGATTGTTATCGGAGATAGTTTCTATAACTTTGTGGAACCGTGAGGAAAAATTCTATTTAAACTCAATCATCATATGACTAAACTTTAATTTATAACCAATACCAACTTACTACTTTTTTATAAGTTTGTATAATTTATAGTAAGTTTTGCAAATAAATTATTTCTATTTTTAATTTTTATGTTTACTTTTTTTTTAAAATATATTTTTAGGCTCGATCTGCTAAGGATTCTCCTTCTTCTATTTCATCTAACACACCTATTATGTTCAACTAATTCTCAAATGGTATAAGGATCAATCACTAGTACGAAATCACTTTTAACATCGGGCTTTCCACATCGGTTCCCGGATGAACCGATGTAGAAAGTCTTTTTATAAAATTAAGAAAATTGTTACTTGACAGGATTCGAACCCGATACCTTGAAGTCGGAGGCTAATACTCCAACCACTAAGCTACCAAGATTTTCTAATAATAACTTATACATAAATTATATTTATATACAAATAAAAATGTATATCCATGTAAATATATAAATATAAAACATATAAATACAAATACAAATATATTTATATATTTATATGTTGGATGTGAGAGCGCTCGAGAATAAAAGTGTGTGTCAAGTGGGTTTTCAAAATTTGATGTCAAATTTGTGAGCAAGTTTCTTTATATGAATTTGTAATTTAATGATAGAATATAATCTTTATAATTTATTTATAATAATATAGAATATAATCTTTATAATTAATTTATATAATGATATAAAATAAAGAAAAAAATTATTTTATATCATTATATAAATAAATTATAAAGATTATATTTTGTCATTAAGTTATAATCCATATAAAGAGACCGCTCACAAATTTGACATCAAATTTTAAAAATTCACTCGACACACACTTTCATCCTCGAGCGCGTCCTCACATCCAACATATAAATATATAAATATATTTGTATTTGTATTTATATATTTTATATTTATATATTTACATGGATATACATTTTTATTTGTATATAAATATAATTTATGTATAAGTTATTATCGAAAAATCCTGGTAGCTTAGTGGTTGGAGTATCGACCTCCGACTCTAAGGTACTGGGTTCGAATCTTGCCGATGACAATTCTCTTAATCCGATAATAATTCAAATTCCTAAAAAATATAAATAATAAAAATATAATATAAAAGGGTTATAAAAGGGAGAGGATAGTTTAGGAAACTCTAGATCAATAGATAGGGTAATTACGAGATGTGTTATGAATAAATAAAATAAAAAAAAATATTAGACTTTCTACATCGGTTCCTTACAACTGATGTGGAAAGTCACACTTTCTACATCGGTCGTATCTACATCGGTTCTAGAACCGATGTTAAAAGTCCCTGGGAACCGATGTTAAAAGCCTATTTTGTACTAGTGAACAGTCTTCTAGTTCCACTGTGTCTGTCGCACACACAGGTACATCTTTTACTGGTGTTTCTGGTGAAAATTTGATTGATTTCAATTTATGGGGAGTTGAGTCCTAATCAAATCTTGACCATGTAGATTCTTTTTACTTAGGCTAGCAACTAGTTTTCAATCAAAAGTGCATGAGAATCGAGAATCCTAAAATCTTGAAAAGATGCAAACCACATGACCTAGAGTGCAAATCAATGATCGAAAGTACTATTTTTGATGTTTTTTATTAAGTAACGCGAAGTAAAGAAAGCAGTAAAAATGTTAAATCGAAAAAGCGGTGCAGAATATGAAATTACAGAGAATTGAAAATTGCGGAAACCTCAAAATTGCATTAATTGTAAATGACAGAATTAAAATTGCATGAAAGTAAATAGCAGGAAATCGGAATTGCGGAAACGGTAAATGGCAAGATATCGAAAGTACAGAAACTTAAATTGCATTAAAGGTAAATGACAAGTAATCGAAAGTACAGAAACTTAAATTGCATCAAAGGAAAATTACATGAACATAAATTACCAGGGAAAGTAAAGAAAGCGACAAAGGCAGTCAATGAAAATGGAAATCCAGATCGCTAGAAACTTCATGATTTCGTCGTTCTCCGGTAGACTTTTCACTAACGCTTCTGTTGTCTCTGCCAATTTCCCCTTTTTCCTTCATCTTTCGCTCTATTTATAGAGCATCATTCAAGTAATCTCTTAGGAGCAGTTAACGAAAACTGCTACCACGTCCTGCGTGCACGTCTTTTGCAGTTTTACTTCTAGCTCTACGGTTAAAAAACTGCATTCACGTTCTCATGCATGAGGTAACTGCTCCCTTGACCTTCGACTTCTGTCACCGCTTACCATGTTCTATGTGCACGTCAACTGTTCCTCTCTTTATAACTTAACCAAAATTCTGATAGTCATGTAGGTTAACCTTTCCCTCGATTTCGATTCCAAATCTCGAGAATTTTGAATTGCTTCTGTTTTCACTTTGTTTCTCAACATTACTTTTGACTCAAATTTCTCGATTCTCTTCAACAAATAGACATTAAATATTCCTCCTTCGATTTTTGGTTCTAATTCTCGATTTATGTGTCCATACTGTTACATGGTCATCGAATGTTTTCCAACTATCTTTTCACTTCATCAGTTTTTAACCAATCATATGATCTCCAATTTTTCTTTCCTTCGTTTTTCGATTCTTTTAACAATTTCCTACTAACAAAATGCCCCATTGGAAGAATGTAGATATTTGTATTTATATTCTTTCAACATGATTCCCGCCTTCACATGTTTGGAGGCCCACACTAACTTAGGGTTTAGGGTTTAGGGTTTCTGGGGTTTTTAAGGGTTTATAGGGTTTTAGGGCTTTTTCTACTTTATGTCACCTATCACGTCAGTTCTGCTGCCACACTGCACACGTCACAGTAATTGTCCTTCGCCTCCGTCGCTTCCAATACCCCAGTTAGTTTCCTTTAAACGCTAGTTAACCTTTTTACCCTTATTTTTTTTTTCACTACGAACTTCATTCACTCCTCCTTTGCATCTTCGTCTTCTACCTTGCACCTTCGTCTTCTACCTTTCGTCCTCATCTGCTCTACCTACTACTGAAATGGCAACCTCATCCAAATCCTCTGACTTTTCCACCCCACCACTTCCCTCGGTGACCGCTAACCTGCTGGAGATTAATAGCCAAAAATTTGCTCCAGTTCCTTTAATGGAGGAAGCTTCTCAGAAGATTGCTGAGACGGAGGTACTCATCCCCTATACTGCTGATAATGTTAATTACGCTTTTGGAAGTCCTATCCGCTATTGTGGCGGATCATTTTCCTCTTCCCTTAGCCTCTCAAAGAGTAAAGCTCTTCTTCACAAGTCCGAGGTGCGAATCGACTTTCTAAGCATTGTATCTAAAGTATACCGAACGGGTCCTCCCCACAAAAAACCTTTGTATATTAGGTGGTTTGATAGAGTAAAAACCAAGTTTGGGAACCATTGGAGAGATGTGGGGATCTTCGATTTCCTGCATCTGTCTCGATGTGATTTATCTCATTTAGATATGGCTATGTTTTTATCAGCTATCCATCTTTGGAATAAAGACTTGCATACTTTGGAACTACCTTGTGGTCCCCTTTCACCCACCCTCTTTGAAATTGCTGTTATTACCGGATTCAAACCCATAGGGGAAAAATATTTTAAGGGTGCTTTTCCTTCGGATACTTCTTTAAGGTCCAAGATCGATTGGGAATCGAAGGCGTATGGAAATTTTATCGAAAAGCATTTCGTCGATGACCAATCGATAACTGTAACTGATGAGGAGCATATAGCTTTCCTGGTGTATTGGCTATGTGCTCATGTTTTCTGCCCCCGATCCATCCAAATTTCATCCCACCTTTACAACCTTGCCTACCTCCTTCACACTGGCCAGCCTAGAATTTGTTTAGCCAAACTTTTGTTAGCCCATGTCTATACCGCTTTTGATGAGGCCGTCGAGATTTTGAATACCCCCAGGGCCTCAGGAAATTTTTCAGGTCCCATTTGGTTTATCCAATTATGGCTGAACTCGATTTTTGAAAGTATACTCCCCCCAACCTCCACAATCCCCCCAAGTTTAAATTTAAAGGGTGCTCGAT